ATGCATATGATATCTACATACATGTACATGTGTTGGCATGTGTGCTTGTGTGTGCCTGTGTATGTGTATGTGTGAATATTGTGTACACATTTCTGTCAGTTTGTCACTGTCGGCGCAGTGTCGCGTGTTTATTTATACGCAATCAAATTAAGTTTGAAGCGAATTTCCAGACGGGGGCGACAAATTGAGGTAATCATGTTTTGCATGTGTGAGCTGAGCTAAAAATCAAATAACCCCACACACATACACACACACACACACACACACTGACACTTCTGCCACATACACTAACTATTTAGACAGCAGAGTCTAACCGCAGAATTTGTAGCCCGAAGTGCTTCAGCTGGCGGCAATTAAATTACCTATAAAGGAACGCCAACCTCAGGCCAGCCAACCTAACCCACCCAACCCGGTTGACGCAGCGCGATGCTGTTCGCCTCTTATCATTCACTCAGATGACCCAATTTGCTGTTGTTGTTGTTGTTGCTGTTGCTGTTGCTGTTATTGTTGCCTGTTGGCACTGCGATAAGACTTGAAGAGGCAAACCGCAAGCCACATGCAAATTACGCAGCTCGACTGCCCCAGCTACAACTGTCAAAGTGTATAGCACAATCAATTGCAATGCCAGATACTATATACTATATACTATATACATATATACATACAATATATACATTTATATGTATATAGATATAAATATGGAGATATGTTGCCCCTGGCAGTGGTTACCCGGGCAATGCAAATGGTATGCCCAAACCAGCGGAAATTGCCATCAGGCCGCTCGAGCAGCTTTAATGGTGCGCATAAAATTTGCCAGCTGGCCCGAGGATAATAAGGACTACGACGCTTGCCGCTGCCTACTTTGGTGCGCCGAGTCGCGAGCCCAAATAGGCTTGCCGTGAGTGCAATGCTCAAATGTGGTTGCTAAAAAACTGAAACAGCCTTATTAGACGGCAGTTAAATCCATTAAATTGGCAACGGGGGAAACGAAATATGAATGCCTTGTGGGAGCGACATTGCACACACTCACACTCGCGCACACTCACACTCGCGCGCGCACACACACACACCTACACACTCAATGGCAGGCAGGATCATCATCAACTACAGCAGCAGCAAACCTGAAGTTGACTTCCCTAACACACACATACACATATATATGTACACATATATATGTATATATACATTCGCACACAAATTGTGCTATTTATAGTCCAGCGTTTGGGCGCCTCTTTATAAAAGTCAATAATTTATGCTTCCGCTTTCACATTGCTCCAGTGCTCCACATGGCTCCAACAGCGGCGGCAGCAGCAGCAGCAGCGTCTTTTAATGCGCTTCCATTGACCCAATTCGTGTGCTGCAAATCAAAACAAACAGACTTCCAGGCATGCTCCACTTTTATGCTCACCCACTCTGCCTCCACCTCTCTCTCTCTCTCTCTCTCTCTCTCTTGCTCTCTTAAGCAATTCCAGCGACTCTTTGCTGCCTGCGCGCGCATCTGTTTTGTCAACTCTCTGGCACTGTTATTGGCCCGGCCGCTCTTTTTGGCCCAGTTTTCGTCTGTTTTTTTTTTATTTTTTGCGCACATTAACAGACGCTGTGACAGGGGCAGGGGCAGGGCCAACCCTCAGTTAATGCACACACACACCAACACACTCACACATTAATATTTGCTTAAGCATTGCGCTCGCATGGCTATATACAGTTGACCCAATTTCGCGTTTGTCCTTTACACAGCTGTTCTGTTTTCCGTTTTCTGTTTTCGGCTTGCTGTTTGCCTTCGCCTTCGTTATTCGGGGTATGGGCTTGTTTATGTTTGCGGCCAAAAATGGAAAGCGAAACAGCGACAGAGCAGAGGAAACTTGTTATTTATATACAAGGCACGTAAATGCCAGTCTATCGATATGTATGTATGTGTGTGTGCGTGTCTGTGTGCGTGTGTGCGTGGGGATGGTCACATTATGCTGTCAAGCGAATGTTCATTGATTGTGAAAAGCTATGGGAAATTAGATACGAAGCAACAACCAAAACGAAAATGGCGCTGATAAAGCGAGCTTAGCGCATTTCATTATTTGTATTGTTCAAAGAATTTTAATGAATTTCATCGCAATTCGCGTATTTCAATAAGCTGCCCACATCAATAGTCAGAGTATTAGTGCGGAGCTCTGCTCAGCTGGCACAGCAAATCGTTAAGCTCTCTGCCCTCAACTCAAACATAACTCTCGGCACATTTGTTGGAGCAGGCAACTTGGCGATTAAAGCAGATTAAGCCCAGTGCTCAGGCAATGCATACAAAGCACGTGAACTGCCAGTAAATATCATGCAAACTTCTACTATATACTATACACACACAGGCATACATACACACATATACATATGTATATGCAGAGTTATGTATGTAGAGGTAACCTTACTCTGTGCACTTGCCTGTTACTGGCGCCAGGCAAACGGCAAACAGCCAGGATAACGATACCACTCAGCTAGCCCGGCTCCATGAAGCGCACACCAAGAGCGTGAGAGAGGAGGAGGGCGAGTGAGATGGAGATGGAAATGGAGAGAGAGAGATAAATGTAGTTTGCCTTTGGCGTAACAGGAATACCGCATCAATTTCATGACGTGCGCGCGCTCTCTCTCACTCTCTCTCTCTCTCTCTCCTTGTGACTCGAACTTCCTTTTTAGACTGCCTTAAACAAGATTTGTGTTATTCCCGACGTTTTCGCACACTCACGTTACCTATTTATGCGCCAAATCAGGACACAGTGCGGTAGGCAACAAGCGGCAAGCGGCACTCAGCGACCATTGTGCGATGCCCTCGTCGCCGCTAGGGGATGCTGCTGTTCCCAGCAAGGCGGGCAGGCGGTCGGGGTGTGTTCAAATGAATAACTGAAGTTTCAGTTATTTTTTGTCTCATTACTAGAGGAACGACTGCCATACGCACCCACAACTCAATTGATAGAGCGACATAATGAAGACAGAAACAGGGGGAGAGAGAGAGGGAGTGGGAAGGGGAAGGGGAGACAGGAGACAGGAAGTTGGTCACAAGTTTCAGTGCTCGTTGGGCTGGGCCTTTGTATCGCACGACAGGTGCCAACAGCGAATGTGTAAGTCGATTGTTGCCTGGGCTATTGATGAGCTAAAAGCGATTTTCGACTTTGTAGACCCATTAATTAAAAATAATTAAAGCCAACAGCAGCAGCAGCAGCGGCGGCAGTGGCAGTGGCAGTCGATGCTGCCTCCTGCTATGAATTACGTATACGCCACATTGTCTGCTAATGAATTTAATCAAAGTTTTGGGCGCATGATGTGCTAGTAGTTGTTGTTGTTCTTATTCAAGCACACACACACACACACACACATACATATACACACACTGCTGTAGCACATTAAAGACATGCCTGCATATATTTATATATATATGGCAGGCACAAGAAGTCGGCAACTGAAGCGTAGCCAGTGCACGCACAGCTGCCACAAATGGCAACAATTGCACACACACACACATACACATGAGTGTGTTAATATTTATGAGCAGGATATGCGCCATATCCTCCGCTCTGCTCACTGGCCACAAACGAATTATGGCGCCCACTAATTGCGCCGAGTTAAAACGAAAAATGTGTAGACCCACAGTCAAGCAGCAGGCAGTTAATGTAACACACACGCCAACACACTCGCCTATTAATGCGTGTGAGTGTGTGTGTGTGTGAGTATTAACAATTCACGTCGCTTATGTAGCCCAAGTTATTTATGTTTATGATTACGTTGCGGTTAGCAGCTTTCACTTGCCTTTCGATATCGCTCTCTCGACCAGGAAGCGAATGCTTCCACAATTATTACAGACCTCTAGAGTCTTACTCTGAAAGACTTCATTGGATGCTGTGAGTTATGGTGGTTGTTGTCTCTAAGCTCAGCTAATCCAAAGAGCCGGAGTAATTAAATTATTGAAAACGAGCTGCTAATTAAATGAGCTGCTGAAGCAATCCAATAAATAGATTGAGCATTAGATATGCTTGAATAGGTGGAGCCCATTCCTTGGCTCGGCCAGTCTGTCAACAAATAATTAATCACTTGAAAAGTGAAATTTAATTTTCAATTTGTGCAGCTGGGCAGGGAGACTGCCGCACACCGAAGGACAAGCCTCGGCCGCAGCACAGTAACAAGGACGCAATCAAAAATACAAAACACCAGAAAAGAAAATGTTAACTGGGTCAACAGCTAACCTTCAGCATAAAACGCAGCATAATTGCAGGCGCAGATCCGTTAAATAAAGCAGAGCTCTCTCTCTCACTCTTCTATCGCTCTCTCTTTGTCTGTCTCACTCTATTGCCATCTCTGTCCCGCACGTTTCGAGCGAAAGTGAGAAGCGTGTCAAGGCGAGCGGCAGGCTGACCCAGTAAATGGGGGCGCGCGCGCTTTGCAAAATGGGGAGAGCCACGCTCGGGCAGGGAGCTGTGGCGGTCTGTGTTATCAGTGCAGAGCCAGAGGAGCCGTGCAGCGTGCAGCCGGAACGCCGGAGCGCAGACTTGCTCGGCAGCCTCGTTTGCTGCTCGTGCAACGGTGCCGGGCAGCAGGCCAGGCAGCTGGGCCACCAGGCAGCGAGGCAGCCAGTTGCATTGTCCGCACCAACACAGTCGCATTTGGCACCGGCACGGCACCGGTTCACTGGCTGCTGCTGCTGCTGCTAGCTCCATTAGCCAAGAGTCGCGCGTCATGCAGGCAACGGCGCTCAACTACTACGTGGAGCGCAGCGACTACGAATCGTGCGGCGAAAGTGAAGCCAGCCCGGGCTGCCCTTCCTCCGTCGCCTCCAGCGCCTCCTCGCGCGCCAGCACGCCAGCCACCACCAGCCAGCACCGCAGGCACAGCCACAGCCACAATCAGTCTCAGCATCAAGTACGCAGGGCTTAGCTAGAGCCTTTAAATCCATTCATTAATAATCGTATTATGCCCAGTGTTGGATAGTGTTTAATCAATTTATGCTTTGCTTCTTGTACTTGCAGTCCAAGAAATTCCGTTGCACCTGGAAGGGATGCGACATTGTGGAGCCCACACAGATGAAAATCGAGCGACACGTGCGGGACATTCATTTGCGGTAAGTGCAATGGCCCAAGAGGCAAGGGGCGACGGTGGGGATGGCAGTGTTAGTTGTGCAGCAGACTCACTAAGGGTGCAGGCTCCTAGGGGCCAAAAGCAACGCGCAACCAAGAGCAGCAAGTGGCTGCCTGGGCCTTGACTTAGTGCAGCCAACAACAACAACAACAACAGTCCGCACAGCAATAGCAACAACAAGAACAATTGACAGCATTACAGCGCGCGTCACAGCTAACTGCACAGTGGTAACAAAGCAGCAGACGAGAGGCTGCAATCATTTATAGATATTGTATATATCGTATAGAACTAGCTTCAAATATGCTTAAATCAGCTTTAGGAATATATATATATATCATAACATATATATATATATATATATCAATAATTGTTATATTATTGTAACCACTGTTTGCATGCAAATTACGCTCATCGAGCAAACCACTGTGCAGGCCGCTTGAAGCTGTTTAAAACTAGAACACTTGTATACACATGCCTGCATGCATGAGTGTGCGTGTGTGTGTGTGTTTAAGTGTAACCAGGTCACACACACACCAACCCGCACACACCCACACACACACACTTTGAGTTAACTTTGCGCACCTGCATTTCAAGTGTCGCAAATGCCATAGACAATCGTTGGGGGGCGTGGCATTTTTTTTTTTTTGCGGCCCTGTTCTGGGCAACTGCGTTGGCAGTTTTGAGGCCAAGGTTCAAAGCTGAAACCCGCTTAGGCGTTGACATTTGCGAATGTTAAATGCTATTTCCTATATAAATGTTTTTTGCCCAGCAGTGCAGTGCGGGACGATGCAAAAGAGAGAATAAAAACAAAAAACAAACAAATAATAAAAGGCCGTTTTAGGTTTTCGTTTTTTTTTTTTTTTTTTTCTTTTTGCTCTCAAAATGTTCTTTTTTCTGCATAGAGATGGGGGTTATGTAGGTTCTTATATAGAATCATAGTTTATACTTGTATTCAGTTGCATATTGTATATTGTATGTGTTGGTGGTGTGGTTGTTGTTCTGGTTGAATTTATTGTTGTTGTTGTTGTTGGCAAACGAACAGCTCTAGGGCTACACTAAAAAGTACAATACTTGACACTCTATATATATATATATATAAATGTGTGTATAGTTGTATAATGTTTGCTTTTATATACTATATATCTATATGTGTATTTATATATCTATATATAACGCTCGAAATATCAACTATGCGCTTGGCAGAGGCTGGTAGCAACGTAGGAGCTATTGTAGTTTCTGTATAAGTGGAGAGCAAAAATGCAAAAGGAAGTTGTAAAATGAAAGGAACACAGGGAAATCAAAGTGAAAGTTATAATCTCTAATCGCGATTAATTCACAAATACATATATATAAGTGTAACTTAATGGCTATGATCTATGAGCGATTCGTTAGACTATTTAAAAGAAAACTAAGCATAAACGTCGAATTTACTTTTTACATATTGAAACTAGGCTTTTCATTTTTGTTGAGGTACATGAAATAATTGATATACAGTACAATGATATATACTTAACATAATTTAATATAACATACATAGATACAGGTTGATTTATTGAGTTCGTGTTTTGTTCAAAGCTTTCTCCTCCCTTTCCATATTTGTTACTTTATTTGAAATCTGCAAACTGCAATTGGCATGAACTAAGAAACTTTCCTGAAGCAGTAGTTGATCTACGTTGATTATTATAGTGTGTGTATATATATAAATATATGATACTTGTATTACATAACATACATACGTTAAAAACTCTAAATGCTATGGGTGGCTAAAATTATTCTTATCGATTATATGCTGCTGTTCTAAACAACTACATACATACATTAGTTAGTCTGCCTTGATTGTGTATCTCTGCGATATTCAAATTTCTCTTCGATTCTCATTATGCTTATTATTATTATCGTTTATCTTTTGATATACAAGCTTAACAGCTTTAAGAAAATAAAAATAAAATAAAAATATCCACAACATATGCCTAGGCGTGAACAATTTCCGAGTACTTAACTTAACTTTCGGAGCATACAAAAATACAATTCACAATTAATCTCATTCAAAATAAATAAAAGTAAAAATTACATAAAAAAAAGAAGAAAGCAAAAAATAGGCAAACTTTCGACAGAATTAAATAACAAAAGATTCGTAAACAAAAACATTCATTGATAATTGTCCTAACTCAGTACCAATCCAGTTCTTAGCCATGTAGATTTTGCCAGCAAGTTGTAGTATTTGTCACCTTGAACAAACTTCATTTCCCTTCCATTTCTAGTGAGGATGCAGAAGTCCATGGGTAATGTCCATGCTACCATCGCCCATTCCATTGACCGACAGAGTGCCGTTTAGCATGCTATTAGCTGCAAGAGAGCGCAGTAGGGATTATAAAATGATAAACTCTGAGGTATTAGTTTAGGTAGCGTACAATTTCGGTTACCCTGCGTATCCATCTGAGTCCAATACTGTTCCGATGGGCTCTGCGTATTAGTCCCCGGCGGAGCCTGAACCGGCGCCCCCGTGTACCGAAAATACGGATTCTTTAGATCCAATGTATTGCTCGATGATATCAAGGTGCCTTCAATATGCAGATCAATAGTCACATCATACGACTGCCGCCGATTAGCTTCCAGCAGCACTCGACCCGTCAACGTCTGGCCTTGCTTGATGAAAATTGGCATGGGCAGCAGGCAGCGCACCTGATACCAGTGAGTCAGTGGCGCTGTTGGCGAAGTGGAAAGCCAGACATTCTGGCTGCTACCACTGAACTCCACATCAAACCAAAATGCTAGTCCATGGCATATGCCCGTTTGCAATATGTGGAACTCGAGTGGAATGTCTAAATTAAACAATTTCAAGTTAATTGGGAATAAATGTAGAAATATTCAAGTGACTTTACCAATGACATGTAAATCATCCTCCTTGTCGTTGAGGAAGTCGCATACATGGCGAACCGACTTGGCCATGCAAATACGTATGTCAAATGTGTCCACGATCGGTTGACGGAAGTACTCTTTCATGCCCTCTTTATGCAGGGTTGTTAGATCGACGCCGTGAAAGGCCGATTGATACCAGAAGTTGGCCTTGTTATACTGCTCCGAGTAGAGCGACTCATCTGAGAAGGGCGCAATGTGCAGATCGCCATGCGTGGGATACATTTTGCCATGGGGCTTTAGCCACTTACGCGCATGCAGATATGTCTCCAGCATGCGTTCGTTGTAGAGCATATAGCCCATGGGCTCAGATATGATAACATCCACCTTTTCGGGCAGCTCAATTTCCTCAATTTTGCCGGGTATCACTGAGATCTTGTGCTGCACATTGTTCGACTCGACCAACTGCTGTGCGTATTGCGCCATATTGGAAGCCTCAATCGCATACACCTTGGCAGCACCGGCTTGTACGGCAAAGAAAGACAATATGCCCGAACCGGCACCTACATCCAGCACAACCTTATCCTGAAAAAGGTATTCAGTTTTTGTTTGTAAAATTAGTAAATCAGAGGAGCAAATCTATTTCAGTATAGATTTAGAACGTTGAATTTACTTGAAAGTCAATGGCATTGCCTAAGATGGCGCGCTGATAGGTGCTAGTCCTAACGTAGTCCTGCATCATGTTTTGCTGCTGGCTTAGGTAGCCATAGAATTGGAAGTACTGCGATGCAGATGATTCTTCGGTGCGCTGTGAGAACACGGACTTCGGCCTCAGATGCTTCACATTCTCCACAACCTTACGGAAGAGCTGCTGATCCTTATCGCTAACAAATCGTAGTACCAGATTATCCGATTCCAAAGAAATAGCATAGCACCGCCGTCCTAATTGAGCAGCATCCGTATCCGCCGATATCATATACTCCTTCAGCACATGCCCTTGATCGTTGTCTAAAAAGTACAAGGGAATATCGAACTCAATCTCATTCGGCAGATAGTCAGTCAAGATGTACTACTCACCCAACATAATGCGCAGCAGGACGCCTTGGGAGTCGTAGCTACAGCTTAATGTACAACTACTGTTATATTTGTTGCTAAATTCGAGCTTCTGCTCGTCGGTAATGGCGCTTATAACAACGCCTGAAAACTGGCAATTGCTGAGAGGGCAAAGCGCCGCTGCGACGCTGTTGACGCACTTATTATTCTGATCGGCTGCGATGCGGCCGCTGCTGCTGGTGGTGGACATTTTGGTGTGATCTGTGCGGCTGGCCACTGAGTATGGGATTAGGAATCGGGTGGATAATCACAATGCTTTTCGGTATAATTGACAATGTAGGCTGTAAGATGCACGCGGACGCAAATTAAACACACATATACTAGTAGGCAAGCTCACGCACGCACACACACACACATTCACTCGCTCACTCACTCACACGCATACGCACACAAAGGGAGACAGACACAGACGCACGCGAGACTCTTGCGACGCGCAAATTTTTTCTGTCGCCGACGACAGAAATCTCAAAATTTTCCACAGCAATTTATATGTGCGTCAAGCGTAAGCAATGCGTATGCTGTACACTTATATTCTTTTCTGGCAAATATATACTAATTAGTGGCGCGCACTGTCTCACTGCTATTGCAAAAATCGATCGATTTTTGTTGATTTCGTATTGATTTGACACAGAACGTGCGTGTTTTTTGCAAACGTTGCTACAACCCTGCAGCTGTGTGTTTAGCGTTGGCAAGTGAATGGCTGCAGCGCTGCCAACTTTTTTGCGCTGGCGTTGCCACTTCCGATATCAGCTAATGGCAGCATTGCAGCCATTCGCTTGCTCAATGATATAGAGATGCGTCATGGTGAATTGTGATCACAGTGACAGCCGTGAATGTTACTGAACGTAACGGCTATTAAACCACCGCAAACAAATTATCAAAAAAATATACTATATATTAGAATAGCAGTAGCTTATAATGCAAATTAAACTTTTAATCAGAGATTACTTCTTGTTATGAATTAATAGGATACAAAAAACATAACTTTTATTTGTCCACAATGCAAACGCAATTCGAATGCTCATCTCTAACTTGAGAGCAAGATTATAGCAACATATTGCAACTTTAATGAATGGCCATAATAAAAAATTAAACAATGTCAATATTTGTGCACTTGCAGCAAAAAGGCCAGACGCTCCGGCGAATATGATTCCTGCAGTGATAATGAGCACGAAGAGGAATTCTATTACACAGAAGACGACGACGATGACGAGTTGGTCAAAACGCCTAGTCCTGCATCTCCACCCACGCTCAGCCACCGGGACATGGCGCGTCCACCGCACGAGGATCCAGAATACCAAAGACAGATCGTTGGCAACTTCAAGTAAGTGAATCTCTGTTTGTCTGTCTATATTCACTATATTAATATTTGATATTTATCGCTACAGACAAGGACGCGCTATGAATAGCTATCCCCACCTCACACAGCAGGCACATCAGCAACATCACAGCAGCAGCAACAGTAGTGGCCACATCACAAACATCCAGCATCAGCAGCTGCAGAGCAACAACACCAGCTGTATACCGACATCGCCGCTGGCGCATCACAATTATACTTGGGCATCCAATGGTGCGATCACAGTGAGCGCATCCTCGACGAACCACCACCACAGCAGCAATAGCAGCATCAACAGCGGCAGCAGCAGCAATAGCAGCTCGACGACACTCGGCAAACATGCTCGGCCTTCGTCGTCGCGTCCGTCCCACTCGACAGCGCCATATCCATCGCCGACCATCGTCCTTCACCACCATCACAATTACAGCAACAGCAGCATTGGCAGCACCGCCAGTAACAGCAGCAGCAGCAGTAGCAACAGCAGTCCGGTAATACACAGCAACAGCAGTGCCAACAACATGTTACAGCAATTGTCGCAGCAGAATGTCACGGTGACGGCGCACCACACTCACAATAGCAGTGGGCAGCACCACCAGCAACAACACCACCTGTCTAGCGTGACAATCACGCCCAACTACCATCCGCCGCAGCAGCAGCAACAGCAGCAGCAGCTCCAACAGCCGCAGCAGCAACAGCAGCAGCATTTGCGCGGCCAGCAACAGACAACTGCCAGCAACAATCTGGTTGCCAATTCCGGCCAGCACATGCAGCTCCAGCATGTGGCCGTGCAGCAAGTCGTGACCGCAGCCAGGAACACGCCCAACTCATCGAACCGACGCACACGCGGCGAGAATAAGAAATGCCGCAAGGTCTATGGCATGGAACGCCGCGACCAATGGTGCACTCAATGCCGATGGAAGAAGGCTTGCAGTCGCTTCGGCGACTGAAAACGACAGAAAGCGTCGACCGAAGCGGCTCAGGCCCAGGCGTCGGCGATGCTGCGGCAAGGCGAAACATATAAAGCAGGAGCAGCGGCAACGGCAACATCAACAGCCACATCAACAGCAGCAGCAGTAACATCAACAGCAGCAACATCCACAACGACAGCAGCAACAGCTGCCGCTAAATTGACAACAGTGGTGCGTTTGGCCGCCGAAGTGGCGGTTGGCAAACAGCTGCCAGCTTCACTGACTATTAAAACACACAAACGGTATGGCGTACATCACATACAGCCATACAACATCAGCCAATACAGCAACCACGCCAACAACAATGTCAATCGATTGCCGCGTGTTAAGAGTGTTGCTACTTCGGTGATTGTATCACCCGCTGCAGTTGTGGCCAAACCGTTGCCCACGACCCCGACCTCGACCACGACCACGCCACCCACCGCCAACAGCAATAATAATAATAATAATAATGACGACGCAGCTGTTAACGACGTTGTTGACGATGACAATGATGATGATGATGATGTACAAATGGAAGACGTTACTGCTGCTGCCAATGGATTGTTAGCCTGGAGTCGAGCTGCTGCTGCGGGCCAGCTGTAGTTATTGCTAAAAAGTGTCCGCCGTTTAACAAACAAAATACAACAAATTAATGAAAAATAATATGTATATGTATATACATATATATGTACATGTATATATATATATATATATATAAATGGTCTCTTCTTATTTACTCTGCATTAAAAATGTGCAAACCTTAAACGTAACGGTATCTCTTTTTATTATTATTATTATTTTATTTTATTGTTGTTGTTGCTGCAGGTGTTGCCAACTGCCCAACAGCAATTGTTGTTGCTAACATTTGCGCCCTCGGCGACATCTGCAATATTTGCAACAACAATAAATAAATAATATATAATATTAATTATTATTATTATTATTATTATTATTATCATTATTATTATTATCATTATTATTATTATTATTATACATAAATATATACATACTGACATACATACATATTTATTTTAAAACCCTGACTTTGTTAATTCTTATGTTAAACAAAAAAAATGAAAAAGCAAAAAGAAAAACAAACATAATCGTTTGGCCCAGCAATTTTTATATATAAAAAAGAATATATATATCAACAAATATATATATGTATAAATAAGTCTACAAAAATGCAAAAAGAAAATGAAAACAAATCTTAAACAAATATACAATCTGATTTTTTTAGTTTTTAAGATTAGTAAATTTTTTCTTAGTATTAAGTATATTTTTTTGTTCTTCTTGCTCCTACAAAAAAAAAAAACAAAAACTAAAACTAAAACAAAGCAGATGCAAAATATGAAAAAGAAAACTGAAAATGCAAATCAAAATAAGTAATAACAAATAACCAACAAATATTATAAATAAATATTCGAAACGTTTTACATCCAAAACATATTCAAATACAGATTTCAAATACATACATACGAAAACAGAATACATATATATTATATATGCATATATATAAATAGTGAAATTTCAAATTCAAAAATAACTGTTAAACAACCTATTGTATGTGTGTGTTAATCGCTAAGAGTATTAAGTAATTAAGCAACTGCATAAACAACAAACTGCAAACTACATAAAACACTTACTCATATAGATATACAAAAACATGCAAGCAGACCTAAGTAAAACAACGATGGGAACTTGTCAAGTTCCCTCAAGTTGAAAGGCGAATGCTAGATTACTGGTAAATAAAATAAAACAAATATTATAGATAAAACTTAAGTACACACATACATACACACACAGACACATCTATAGAACAATTGTCCCTAAGCCCAGCCCAGCCCAGCCCAAAACAAAACAAAAGGAAAAGAAGATTAAGAAAGAAAGAGAACACAAAAGCTATCCATGCTACTGTAACATATACCATATAAAAAAGCAACTCTAATTTAAATGTAGTGAAATTTTAAAAAGGCAAAACAAAACGAAATGCAATAAAAAAAAAAACAGTTAAACTTAACAGACAGAGACAGCGACAGAGGAAGTGAGAGAGAGGAACAGTTGAGCAGATCAGATATGCATCAGACTAAGTTGATTGACGAAGATCAAGAAAATTTTATTTGGAGCCAAGAAGAATTCAAAATTTATATTCAATTTTTATTTCGGCAAAACTAATAATTTAATGAAAACACAAAAACTAACATTTAGAACTGCGACTATTGTGAATTGTTCAAATTACGGTACCAACAACAATTACGTCACAAATAAACCCAAATGATCTGGGGAGATGTGAAATTGCAAAGAGAAGCAACTGAAAGGAGCAAGCGTTAGTGAGAGAGATAAAGAGTGGAAATCGAGAAAAAGAAAATACACAAGGAATTCTTAACCAAATTGGAAGTACAAACTACAATCTAGAATACGTATAAACTATAAAAAAAAAATAAAATAAAAATAAAAAAATAAACAAAAACAAAAAAAAAAAGAAAACCCAAAAAAAAAGGATAAAAAATATCATTAATATATGGAATGTGCATATATATATATTTTCGAATAAAGCGCAGCAGCCAATGCAGGGCTCGTTTGAAAAGAGAAACAATGATACAGCAAATGCAATGGAGGAAACGGCAATAAATTGAGCTAAAGCGCAGCAGCAGCTTTTAAAAATGAGCAAGAATGCAGCAACAAATTGATATGGAAAAACACATATAAAATGAAAAGTGAAATATGAAAAATAAAAGTTGATTAGGAAGAAGCAGGCGTGGAAAATTTCTTTGAAATTGTTTTTGCCGTGATTTGAATGAAATTCATAATGGTGGCCATTGTTTTTTATGTTTTTGGAATGCGACATGAGTTTAACAAAATAAAATAAAAAAAAAAAAAAAAAACAATTTTCTTTAAGCAAGCAAAACATTTTTACAATTGTATTTCGTTTTTATTAAGCATAAGTTTTAAATAATAATAACAACAAAATCTTATATGTATACATAATTTACATATTGAGCAACACAAGAAAAGAAGAAGAAGTTGAGAGGACAGTGAAGAAGCAAAAGTTGAATAAATATTTGAATGCAATTAATATTGATTAGACGTTACGTTGTCATTATACAAATTTATTGTTTTTTTTCTCTTTGCTAATTCTCGTACACTACACTACACATATACACACACACACCTCGATCTTTTTCGTTGCGTTCTGGAAATTATTTAAATTTAAGTGATATTATTAAAAGAAAAACAAAAATGTATCCATTATTGTATAATTACGTGTAATATGCATACAAAAACATACATAAATCACACTATTTTTTATGTTAATAATAATATGATTTTTATTACTATTAATTATCGATTACGAAGTGGAACGCAAGCGAATGCAAATTCTAACAAAAGGATCCTCAGAGCGCTGATCAATCAAGCAAATGAAAAAAAAGTAAAACTGGCACAAGAACAGAAAAACCAAGAAATAAACAAAAAATTGTGCAAATAATTGTAAAAATTAATGTTAATCGAGGGCTCGATATCATTGTCAATATGATCCATAAGAACGAGAAGAACAAGATGAAGGAATGAAACAGAAATCAACTTATACTGCATATTGTCATTTCAATGTCAAAAGCAAATTACAACAACAACAACAACAACAAAAAACAATACAAAAAGGAAAGAAAAAACAAAACAAACAAACACCCATTTTATTAAAAATATACAAATTGTTATTTATAATTAAAAAAGCAAACAACAAACGACTTTGTTTTTATTTCATTTATCATCATTTCTTTTCAGTTTTAATTTCCTTACCTTTTTCGTATAATTTTCTAACTTTACTTTCTCGTATCGATACCGGTTTCCGCATTGTAAATCTATACAAAATATATCTATAAAAAATAGCTTAGAGCAAAGGCACATCAAATAGATCTATTTCACTTACTGACACGGTTTCTTCAAAAGGGTCTCAGATATTGATAAAAAGAAACTATATCAATGTTTACTTTTCCAAATAACTTTTTGAAATCGTAGATATTATATGTGTATGAAATGTCTATATAGAACCCAAATAGATTTTCAGCTATACTTTTCCTATTTGATTTCATTTTCTTTTTGCTTTCATTGTTTTGTCGTTTTATTTTTTTTATTTTTTATTTTTTTATTTTAGATCTCAATCAGATAACATAATAATTGATATGTAGTTAAATGTAATCAGTCAAATATATTTGCCAATATATGTATGTATGTGTATGTGTACTTATTAAGGAATGCAAAGCCCAATATATGAATGTCTATAGATACAAAATAGTATGATATTTCCTTCAGATATCTACAGTGTATTCAGTCGTTCAATTGATGTTTAACGTTAATATTAACATTAGGCGATCAAAACAAGAATTCCGATCGTAAGATCGATGATCGAAAGATCACGAGTTCAAGAGGTCAAGTATACAAATAAATATCTCAATCTGGCAGGCTGAAAGTCGGGATTCGGTTCCCCCACCCAGTACCTGCTAGTACAGCGCGGTATGTTGCATCCACTAACGATAACGATAGCGATTAACGATTACGATAGATAACAAGTAAATACATATATATATATACATATTAATATATAAATATGTTATATTACATATATATATGTATATATATATACATATAATATAACATAGCATATAGCCAGCATTATTATTATATTATATTATACATATATATAGTATATATCGATCGGGCCCTAAGAGCGATCTGTTTTTGCGACTTGAATTCAAAATAATTGGTGTTGTTTTATATAAGTAATTACGGCATATTGATGATGATGATGATGATGATGATTATGATGAGATGATATATTATATATCTTCAATAATTCTCTGGCGTGCGCTCACATGGGTCTGCCTGTGTGTGTATGTGTGTGTGAACTTTTCTAATTGGAGAACAAACTTAGTTTTAAAAGAAAACAAAACAAACAACAAAAATTGCATTCAAAATAAGGCTGATTTATTTGACTTGTTCGTTTTTTTACTCGTATATAAAATTATTATAGAGAGACACACGCACACACACGCCACTAGCACACACACACACATATATGTGTATGTAACAAAAGTGTGTCATATCAACAAATGCTGAGCTAAACCCAGAGAACCTTAAAGATTTAGAAATTCCATTTAAAATTAAGTACAATTTTTACAAAAAATAAAACGAAATGCTCGCCCATTTGAATTAGTTAAGTGTATCAAGCGAAAAGACTTGCGCATTCATCAGATCACGTAAATACTATATGTAAGGGCATCAGAAGTGTGATATGCAGGGCAGATGAGTCAACCCCATTAGAAAAAAGGAAGGGGGAATGAGATGTCTATGCGCTAGACAACTGCTCAACACTGCCAACAGCGACAACAACAACAACAACAACACAAACTACATTTCCTCATGCCCAACACAGACATTAGACACCAGCTATCAGTCATTAGTCATTAGCCATTAGATAACGGTCATCTGTCATTAGTCTCATTCCTTGACTCTGAAAACTCTTCAAGTTCATATTTGACTCGTACTTATATTGAAGAAGCAATAAGCTATTTATACAATCACACGTATGTTGTGTGTGCGGCAAGCAGGAAAAGAAGAAGATGCCAGTACACACATACAGACGCACACCATCGCACACACACACTCTTATATAAACTGACTGAAACTTCAAAAACAAAAACATGAAATTTTAAAATAATGAATATAGGCTACATCATTTTACAAATGGCTTAATATTAAGTGACATTAAAAATAAAAAGCTAACTAATTATTAATAATGATTTCAATAATAGTTTTAAATAAGTTTTTCTACCCCCGAAAGTTGTTGTAACTTTTTTACAATTTAAATTTTTACGATAATTGGCAAAACGCATTTTTATTTATTTATGTGAGCGATCGATCTATATAAACATATAGAACG